TTCAGAAAATTATAGTTATTTAAACTTTCATTTTTAAACAATGAGCGAGTTAGGAGGGTGGTTTCTATCATGCAAGATCTTAGCATTGATCAAGAAGATCATTTGCTTGATGACTATGTCGTGGATATGAAGATCACCTTAACATCGGTTAAACAAAGTTTTTTGGTTGCTCCTACAGTCCTACTAGTGGATGTTATGCAGATCATGGAGTATCCATATTTTTATTGTTAGCACTTTTGCATGTCATGTATCATGAGTTATTGACTATGTCTCGCTCAGATGGAAATATTAGCGACTTAGTAATTCCAAGACCTTCTATGATTTATTGCATCGTTATTATTCTCTGAACATTTGCACTAGAGGTATCTACGTCATTATACTTCAGAGGAGACTTATTTTCTGTCGGTGGAGAGACGAGTGCCATCAAGAGCATCATGGAGTTGCTTTTGCTTGCTATTGTTTGGTTTCCACTATTAGATCCAACTACATGATGATCATGCTTGTGATATTATATACTTTCCATTTGATTTTAAGACATTTTAAGCAACGCTTATTATTACGTTGTTTGTTCTGCATATTCAATTTGTTACCTTTATGTAAAAGTGCTTGAAATTTACTTCATTCATTTTGGTTTTTTCAGTATATTATAAGAAACCATTTCATTTTTAACTAAATTTTTATCATAAATATTGAGTTTTCTGCTTCAAAATTTAGTGGAAGCAATGTTCTCCCATGCAATGTTTTAATTAGAGGCATATGGCGAGATGTTTTACTTGTCATGAGATGAGGTGTAACCCTTGAGGCATGGAGCATAAGTGCCATGAATTATACTGGGTGACACTTTTAGCCTGTTGGGCATATGCCTCGTAGGTGAAATGTCTTTCCTGTATATCACGATGCAAATTTACTTCACTTCGGTTCACGCTAAACTCCAATCAAGCCCCAAGAATGCCTTTCAAAACACAGGTTCCATTTGTGAAACATAGATCTCATTGTGTTAAGTAGAGTGTCTCTGGCAACTTGGCATTCAACCTAAACATTCTTTCTTTTCTCTCTTGACACTCTATTAATATTCCAAACATCATATTAATCTCTCCAATCCCATCGCTAACGATCTCTCTAAAACTTTGCAATTAGTTGCATTTTATTCTTTCTTACCAATATACTACTTTTGCTAAATATACAAAATTCCTGAAAGAAAGTTTATGACATAAATGAGACAACAAATTTTATTTTTATTAGTAATGACTTTTGAAGAATGATCTATACTACAATAAGTTGTATTTATCATTCAAGGGATATCCAGGAATAATTTAAATAACAAGCTGATTTGATCTATATAGGGTATCACATGTTCCGTGCTACCCATTTAGCCTTAAGGCAAGCTCTAATGGGCCCAACTAAATGGACACGCAAAAAAACACAGAAAATGCTGGCTTCCACCTCCATTGTTGCCGATGGGAACCAACTGTGCTTGTTGGCTTGCCCCCCACTGCCAAACTGGGTCTGGCCCCATTATCTATTTGGATATACATGGACAATTGGGGTTTTAAGTGCTTTAATGAACAACCTTACAAAGCCCTTAAAAAATCGAGACTTGCGTAGGTCCATGGTGAGTTTTTAGCAGATTCGGGTAAGCCCATTTAGCAACCCTATGGTTTTTGCAATTGTGATGCAATGAATTGTAATGACTAAAAATATATGAAACATGTGACAAATGATTGGAAAACCACAAAGCAGGAAATGCAATTTGTAGCATTTAAATCTTGATTTCTTACCTTAGGCATTAGCCCATCAATTCATTTTATAGGATGCAGCTTCTTAACCATCTATCTTTTCTCTTTGGTATGATTTGACATTTAACATTGTCATTGATAGCTTCCAAATCCTGGATAAGAAAAATGGAGAGTTGCATTAGGTAATTGACAGGCAGCATAAAACTTGTCGAATAATCATAACATGAATCGTTCAATGTAGTGTTAATTATAGGTGTTCCCAATAAGCAATGCATTTTTTACTTAAATATAGTGAGAAGTGTACAAAGGTCGTTGCACTAGCGCCCGAGTATAGTATGAAATAGGCAAGAATTCTCACATCACAGGCGAATGTATGCAAACAAGCTAGTCCATGAAATTAGAATTAAGATCAAAATTTGGAATATTTGTTTTCTTTTAGGCAAATTAATGGAGTTCATTGTTATGATCCATAGGAAGATAAATATTCTATGCATTCGGGAAATTAAATGGGTTAGAGAGAAGGCTAAGGAGATTGATAGTTTAGGGTTTAAATTATGGTATTCGGGTAGGATTCGTATTAGAAATGGGGCAGCTGTGATTATAGATAATAGATTGACGGATAATTTGGTAGAAATTAATAGGATTGGAGATAAAATTATAGATTTAAATATTGTTGTTGATACTAAGATTATTAATATCATAAATGCTTATATTTTTTAAGTAGGTTTGGATATCCATGCAAAATTAAAATTTTGGAATAACTTAGAAGAACTAATATAGAAAACACTTCTTGAAGTGTTTTTGTTGGAGGAGATTTAAATGGACGTATTAATAGGGAGATAGAAGATTTTAAAATCATGCATGATAGTTATGTGTTTGGAGCGATTGATGAAGGTGGTAGGACTATGTTAGATTTTTCTCCATCTTATGATTTAATAATTACTAATATATTATTTAAGAAAAGTGAGGAGTATCTCATCACTTATAAGAAATGATATAATAAAATTCAGATTAATTATTTTCTTAAAAGAAAATTAGGTTTTTTTATATTGCAATGATTGTATAGTTATTCCGAGTGAAAGTTTATGTATCAACTTCTCTTATTAATTATAGACTTTATGATGAAGGGTGGAATGTGAAAAATAAAGTAATATTGTTTTAGTGTTAGATGAGAGCATTTAAATAACACTAATAAAAATATTTTTTAAATTAAGATTCAAGATCTTAAGATTTTGGCTATACATGAGAAAGCTATTGTTGTGGGAAAAAAAGCTAATGATATTAAGAAGGTTGCAAATGATTTGTTTGTAGTATCAAAAGAAAAAACTCTTAATAGTAAAAATAGTTGATGGTAGAATCAAAATATGCAAGAAAAATCATAAATAAGAAGATTTGTTATAAAAATGTGATTTAGATATAAAAAAACTGAAAATTTTAGGAAATTTATAAAGAGGCAAAAAAAGTATTATGTAATGCAAAGAATTTTGCTTTTAATGATTTTTACAATATATTAGATACTAAGGAGGGCGATATATATAAGTTGACCAAACAAAGAGATACGAGAAGTAAGGATTTAGCTCGAGTGAAGTGCATTAAGGATGAAGATCAAAAAGTGCTTTTAGTAAAAGAAGATATTTAATAAAGGTGGATGAGATGTTTTGATAAGCTTTTCAATAAAGATTATGAGAATATGATTGACTTTAGTGATGTGAAACCAAAGTCATGACTCATTAAAGTGAAATGAAAATGAGAATATTCAATGAATGGGACATTGAGTGCGGGCGATTGATTTCGTGTTGTGGATAAGAAAGAAGAAATTTAATTTTTATATTTAAATAAATAAGAATTTTAAATATGAGAAATTATATTTTAAAAAATTTATAAAATATTTAAGACATTTGCATGAGGATAATACAAGAAATTATTACGTGTGTTCGATTTGTATATAATTTTTTTAATCGTACACATTTTCGGCGTGTCCGACACGTGTCAGAGTTATGTAGGACTTGTGTCATGTCAGATACATGCTGGACACTGCATGCCTCTTTGAAGATAAGTGTCAGTGCATCATAGGTTGTTTCTTATGTTTAAACACAAGGAGGTTGGATCAAGTATTTTCTTATTTTAGTTTGATTACATAAAGGAGCATCTTTAAGCCCGTATCTTTTTTCTTTAGTCATGGATGTTGTTACTAGACATTTACATGAGGATGTACCCTGGTGTATGTTTTTCGCTGATGATATTCTTCTTGTTGATAAGATTAGAGAGGGAATTCAAGGTATACTGGAATTATGAAGATCAACTTTAGAGTCTAAAGGTTTCGTTTGAGTAGATCGAAAATCGAATACATGAAGTGTAATTTTAGTAATAGTATATCTAATGGAGGGATTGTGACTTTGGGTGTTCAATTCATTAATAAGAGTGCACGTTTGAGATATCTTGGGTCTATTGTCCAGAGTGATGGTGAAATAGATAGGGATATTATTAGTAGAATTCAAGTTTGATGGTTGCAGTAGAGGAATGTATCGGGCTTGTTATATGATAGAAAAGTACCCCTCAAACTTGAGGGAAAATTTTATAAGATGATGGTGGGACCTGCAATGCTTTATGGAACAAAATGTTGGCCATTAAAAGAGAATCATATAATTAAGTTAAGTGTTGCTGAGATAAGGATGCTCAGGTGGATGAGTAGTTTTACTCTTAGAGATAGAATGTGAAACAAGCATATACATGAAAAAGTTGGAGTAGCTTCGGTGGAAGATAAGATTTGAGACATAGAGAGTCGCCTTAGTTGGTTTGGTCACATAAAGTGTCGGCCTTCTGATGACCCGATTAGAAGAGTAGATATATTAGATTTGGCCTATGTTAAGAGAGGTAGAGGTAGACCTAAAAATACTTAGTTAGAACATTTTAAAATGTCTTTTTTTTATTAGATTTAAATGAGATTTTGACTCTTAAAATGACACGATAGAGAAAAAAGATTCATGTAGCCCACACCACATAGTGGGATAAAGGTTTGTTGTTGTTATTATTATTGTGGTATGATTTAACATTCAAGTCATTGAATGAACTGAAATTTTAACTATATTCTCTTTATGTTGTAAAACGTACAACTGTTTGCTGAACTAATTCCTTGTGGTAACTTTCTACGATTTTCTTGCTCTTTTAGCCTTTATTTTCTAGAGTGTTTCTTTCCATTTTGTTTTAGTATTCTCTTTGTTCTTTGATTGTTTTACCAACATTTTGTGCTTTGCAGATTTCTAGAGCTAAGATGTCGACAAATGCTGTGAGAGGTCTCAATGTTCTTCCAATTTCAGAGTTGGAGAAGAATGAAAATTCTAGCAAGGGAAATTTTCCCAAGTCTTTTCTTGAGAATTCTATTGTGAACCCTGACAATTATCAGAATGTGAATTCTGCTTCCATGCTCTCAGCTGCACAAAATGGATCTGGAGCTGAGATTAATGGAGATGTGGTCGGAAATGCAGAAGTTGAGTACATAGAAACTGAGAAACTTACGGATCTTCTATCGGTGGATGCAACTCTTAATGTATTCTATTTCTTATGTCTTTAAAATGCTTATCTAAAATTATTCTACAAAAGAAGTGTCTAGTTTATCCCACAACTGGGTATAACAGCTGCTTATGTTGTAATCTCTTTCATGAAGACTCTGTTGGCAAGGTTGGACTCAAAGGATTGGGTTTCAGTATGTGAAGCACTCAATAATGTGCGCCAGCTTTCAGTATATCACAAAGAGAAGCTGATTGATTTTTTGTGAGTCATCCATTCATTTGTTTAAATTCTGGAATTGACCTGTTTTCATAGGTTGGCATGTTTTATTTTGATTGACCTTGCAATGTTTTCTATTCAGAGGAGATTTGATTCCAAAGATTGTGAAATCCTTGAAAAATCCAAGAAGTGCTGTTTGTAAGACTGCAATCATGACTTGTGGCGATATCTTCAAGGTTTATAATGATTTGATAATTGATTTTCTTGATCCTTTGGTAAGTATAGCTTACTAAACTTTCTAACGTTTTACTTGAAAATATCATTTGAGCTACTAAGCACTTTTCAAGACATGCTTCACAGCTTTCTATGCCATTTAACCAAACTTTGTGTATATTTGTTATTTACTCAGCTTGTACAGTTGCTCCTCAAATCTTCACAAGACAAGCGATTTGTTTGTGAAGCTTCAGAAACAGCTTTAATTGCTATGACCACTTGGATCTCTCCTTCTTTGTTGTTACCTAGGTTGCAACCTTATCTTAAAAACAAGAATCCACGTATACGTGCAAAAGCATCTATGTGTTTTAGCCGCAGTGTTCCAAGACTAGTAAGTTTGTCCCATGCTTGTTTTAGATTTCTTCATGGTTGGCCATTACTTCTCATATCTGATTAAACTGGTCATTTCATTCACCTTCTTGCATGTTTGGATTGTTAGTTATCTGTTAGATCTAACAGTGACTTGACTGTGAAATAGCTATTATTGTGCTTTGTACAAATTTTATTTGTTCTTTCTTTTTTTCCTAACATTCTAGTCTGCTGTCTATTTCATTCTAAGAACCACTTTAATTTTGTTGATTTTTATGGGTAGCCTCCTTTTCCTTTAATCCTCGTGATCAATAGTAATCCAAGAGGAAATACTTGAGTTTGCAAGCAACCCTAGCAATAATTGATAAAAGCAACGGAAATAATGCGATATTCGCAATGGAATCAATTGAAAACGAAAGATTGTAGTAGTGGATTCAAAGCAAAAGCAAACACAAAGCAAGATACAATTGATCCTCAATTCGAGAGGAGGATCATTCTCTCCCAATCTGTAGGCGATGAGTAGAGCCCAAGACACCAAAGAAACTTCAAAAGAAATAAATCAAAGCATAACCTCAACCCTAATCCCCATTCTCATACTTAAGGCATATAATTAATTATTTAAAACCAAATTACTCCCTTGCCCTTGCCGCCCCCTCCTCTGCCTCCAATTAGTTTGAATTTGAATCCCTAGTGGATCCCACTCCTCTCTCTCTCTCTATGCCGCCGCCCCTTCTCTTGTAGCAAAGGACCAATGAGGCCGGTTCCACTAGGGACTGGTCTAACACATACCTAACTATATTTCTTTGTTTAAACGGTATCAGTAGCTCTGACGTGCTCCTTGTTAAAATTCTTCTGAAATTACATTGATGTTGCTTCAGGGTGTTGAAGGGATCAAAGCGTATGGCATTAACAAGCTTATCGAGATTGCAGCATCTCAGCTCATCGATAAGCTTCCGGAGTCTCGAGAAGCTGCTCGAGCCCTTGCTGTGGAACTGCAAGCTTTTTACGAGACATCTAAACTTTCGTCGAGTGAAGACTCCTCACAGGAGCTGGACTGTCTTTCCTGGGAAGCCTTCTGCCAGGCTGAGCTTTCTGCTTTAAGCGCTCAGGCCATTCTTCGAGTGACCTCTATCGCAAAGGAGGGATCAGTGGCGGGTTGCTAACGCAAAGAATCTCGGTACCTTATCTACCTACACCTTTTGTACATTTTGAAGCAGAGAACTTTGAGAGAAACTGAAGAGAATATTGCTTAGCTAATTTGGCAGTTAAGGTTTCGGGTATTTTGATTTGTATTAGCTTGTTGAGATTACACCATCTGTTTCAGTGTGCATTTGTATTAGCGAGTAAAGCTTTAGGCAATATCATCAATTCTGAGCTCTTGCTTTTTTTTTTTGTGACATTTTGGCCATTTAAGTCAAACTCACACACACAACACATACACAAAGACTCGAACCCAAGACCTCTTAGTTGGAAGCATAAGCTCTCAACCAACAGGCCAAGGTGAGCCGTGTTGAGCTCTTGCTTCTTTTTTCAAGTCTATGTTGGTATTAAATTTGGCATGCGGTTGTTGAGGTAATTTTTATATAAAAGAAATGTAAAATCCTAAAATTGTTTTGTGTATTTTTAAAAATAAATTAATTTATGGGATTTACATGCATACCATTTTATTTCATGCTATTTGTATATTTAATATTCAAAGTTTTAATATTACATTCATGCCACTCATATAATTTTAATAACAAATATATCTCTTATGTTTTATTCTTGCCACTCATATTATTCTATAAGTTTTAATATTTCATTTTATGCACTTATATTTGTTCTATGGTTGTTAAACGTGTAATATCAAAGTTTTAGGTGTTAGATATATAAATAACATGAAATAAAGTGATATGTATGTAAATCACCTTAATTTTATTAAAAAAGAAATTTTAAAGCATCTTTTTTTCTTAAAGATGCAAAACAGGTCCTTAGATAATTGAGCAAGTTTAAATTAAATTTTTAAAGATTGATATATAAATGAAAATTTGGAAATTAATCCAAACGTTTATTAACATTTATGAATATGAACATTTCTTTTTTAAAATAAAATATTAAGATTTTAACCAAATAATTTTAATGATGATATGAATGTTTAATAAATCAATTATTTTGTATGATATGTACTTCAATACTTGTTTATAAATATAACGGAAATGTTGAGCAAATAAAAATATTAAATAATCACTTAAAGTTTTTTATTAAAAAAAACTATTTATTGAATTATACGTATATGTCCTCTTCAACGAAACGGATGGCGAGAAGAGTTTCGGCTGTTTGTGCCACTAGTATGTTCATGGTCCCACTTAGGTAAGGGGTCACTATTTCATGGACACAAATGAAGTTTTTCTTATCTATTCGGCATGCATTAAGTAAGCATCCAACTACGAATTCTTGTAACCTGTTCGTTATTAGTGACTGATTGACATTCTATATTTGTTGTTTTGACTTTTGATACTTTAAATAGTTTTATTTTTTTATTTTTTTTTAATTAAGGGCAAAGCCTAATTTTCATAAATGGAAAAGACTAGTTACATGTATAAAATAAAAGGACAAAAAAAAATCAAAAGAGAAGTTAAGCCACAAAAAAGACAAAAAAGCTTACCAAAAGATGCAAAAAATATTACACATGTAAAAAGGTAACAAAAATAAATTAGGCATCAAACAAATAAGACTTGTCAAGAGAGGATTAAGGCTTAGGAAGTAAAGAATTGCATTCAATGAGCCCAAAAAAAGTCCCCAGATTGAATAAATTGCCGTAAAAATTAAGTTGCAAAGAACCGCCATCCAGGGGAAATGAGAATGCAATTCGAACATCATTGCCCGCCAAGAAACCTCATTTTCATAAGTCTCCGATCTAAGCAAAGCCAACCAAAGATGGAATACCTCACTGCATAGTGTTTGTGCCAAACTGAATTATGTCAAGATACCTCATTTTCATTTATATAAAAATCTTGCATAAATATATTAAACTTTCCCACGATACCATCCGCCCAACTTAAGTAATAAGCACTGCCATCTCTAACAATAGGAATTTTAGAAATAACATTTTGGACCTCATAGTGGCAGCCTGGAGGGAAAATCCAACCAGTAGAATCATAAAGCTTGGATAGTGGAGGGATTTTCATAAAAAGCGTACAGTAGGGATTGATGGTGTTGAAGTTCATAGAGACAATAGCCATTACACCAATGATCCCATTTAAGGCTAATAGGACTATTAACAAAAACTTCGAAAACAAACTTATCATTGGCAATTTTTGCAGTGTCGCATATGCTTTTCCACATTAATTATTTTGTATGCTATGTACTTCAATACTTATTTATAGATATAACGGAAATATTCAACAAATAAAAATATTTAATAATCATTTAATGCTTTTTATTAAAAAAACTATTTATTAAATTGTACGTATAAGTCCTCTTCAACGAAACTGCTGACGAGAAGAGTTTTCGGCTATTAGTGCCACTTCAGTATGTTTGTGGTCCCACTTAGGTAAGGTGTCACTATTTCATGGACACAATGACGTGTTTCTTATCTATTTGGCATGCATTAAGTAAGCATACAACTACGAATTCCTGTAACTCATTCGTTATTAGTTACTTATTACCTTTTATTACGTCCTCTGACCGGACGTAGCTCTACGTTCGGTCAGAGAATTGTTACTCGGTTTTTGCTCGGTATTTGATCGGTACTGCTAGGTATTGTTTGGTAATAACGAGGAATACCGCTCTAGGAATATTAATACAGAGTAATACCGAGCAATACCGAGTAATCCCAAAAAATGCAGAGTTTTTCTAGAAAAAACTCGGTATTTTTTGGGATTACTCGGTATTGCTCGGTATTACTCGGTATTTTGTCTTCACATAATGGTATTTCTTGTTATTGTTGGTATTGCTCGGTATTTACTCGGTATTTCTCGTTTTGTGTCTGCGATCTTAGTGTCGGCCGAACGTAGCTCTACGTACCTTCACTGGACCAAATAAAAGTTCCTGATTAATGACATTCTAAATTTGTTGTTTTGACTTTTGATACTTTAAATAGTTTTTTTTTTTTTTTGGAAAATTAAGGGCAAAACCTTATTTTCATGAATGGAAAAAGACTAGTTACATGTATAAAATAAAAGGACAAAAAATCAAAAGAGGAGCTAAGCCACCAAAAAGACTAAAAAGCTCACCAAAAGATGCAAAAATATTACACATGTAAAAAGAGAACAAAAATAAACTAGGTAGCAAACAAATAAGAATTGTCAGGAGAGGATAAAGGCTCATAAAGCAAAGAATCGCATTCGAGGAGCCCAAAAAAAGTACCCTGGTTGCAAAACTTGCCATAAAAAATAAGTTGCAAAGAACCGCCATCCAGGAGAGATGAGAATGCAATTCGAACATCATTGCCCCACCCCCGACAAAGCTATGGAGATCTAAGCTAAATAGCTTATAGCAAGCAAAACCAAAGAACATAATAGCATATGACATGCGGAACAGACTAGGAATCTCGTAGAAAAGAACAACCTATCCGCGTATGAGAATAGCAGAATACAATATGCGCTTAAATTCATCCCCATTTCTTCATCTGTATAGTTTAAGTCTAATAGCATTAACAATATTAACTCGAACCGTGATATGATTCTTGAAAAGTCACAAATTTTCTTTCATTCTTCTCCCTCCAAATGAAATAGACAGCAGCCCAAAGCAAGAGCAGATTAAAACTAACCCCCTCCTTAGATAAGAAGTTCCCTTCAACAAGAAAATTCACCACTTGGATGAGGTTGGGACTCACAAGAAAATTGTTGAGACTAGGATTAATGTTAGAACTAATATTAAAGGTGTAATCACACTCAAAAAAATAGATGGGAAACACTTTCTAATTTTATATTGCAAAAGCAGCAGTAAGGATAAACATTAATATTCCTCATGATCAAAGCATTTGCCGTTTTAAGTCTCCCAGCTAAGCAAAGCCAATCAAAGATGGAACACCTCACTGCATAGTGTTTGTGTCAAACCGCATTATGCCAAGAAACCTCATTTTCATTTCTATAAAAATCTTGCATAAATATATTAAATTTTCTCACAATACCATCCGCCCAACTTAAGCACTAGGCATTGCCATCTCTAACAATATGAATTTTAGAAATAGCATTTTGGACCTCATAGTGGCGGCCTGGAGGGAAAATCCGACCAGTAGAATCATAAAAGCTTGGATAGTGGAGCATTTTCATGAAAAGCTTACAGTAGAGATTGATGGTGCTCAAGTTCATAGAGACAATATCCATTACACCAATGATCCCATTTAAGGCTAATAGGACTGTTAACCAAAACTCTGAAAACAAACTTATCCTTGGCAATTTTTGTAGTTTTGCATATGCTTTTCCACATTAAAGAAGATGCTTGAGGTGTTTTTTTTCAAGGGGAACCGAAGTTAGTGAAAACCAAGAGGATAAAGGAGATGAGAAATTGTAAATCCTAAAAATGAAGGAGCAATTGAAAGCATAACGAAGAGCCTAAAAAGCGGGTAATCCCAAATCGCCTTTATTTTAGGTTTGCAGGTATTAGTCCAAGAGACTAAATGAACCTTCTTTGCCAATACATATCCAAAGAAAAGGGATTTTATAGAGATTTTTGCTATTTGTTTGGAGCAAGATTTAGGTATAATAGCACCACGAATCCAATAAGCTATAGTATTCCATATTGTGAATTGAAGAAATTGAAGCCTACCTACAAAAGATAGAGATTTTGCTTTCCATATGGATACCTTGTTAGTAATAACATCAATGAGGTGAGAGAAGTCAGAGAGGAGAATTCTCTTAATAGAGATGTGAATGCCCAAGTAGATAAGTTTAGAGTAGGAGGTGGGAATATTAAGAGAAGCATAAATTTCAGCAACATTAGAAGAGTTAGGCCTTAAGATAATGGAACTTTTATCTGGATTCACCTTCAAACTTGAGGAGCTAGCAAAAGTATCATGAATATCTTTCAAAATAGTGCCAGTGAGAGGATAGGCTTTCCCAAAAATTAGAAAATCATTCGCATAGAGAAGGTGAAAAGATTGAAATTATTAATATCAATATCCTGGAAAATTTTCTCACCCTCCATATTATCCATGAGAATAAGGCATCCATAGCAAAGTAAAAGAGATAAGGACTTAAGGGACAACCCTGTTGAAGACTAGTTGAGGAGGGGATGAAGCCCTCCAAACCACTGTCTAAGCACTCAAAGAAGTGAACACTAATACAAGCTTTAACCAAATTGATGAATGTAGCGGGATACCTTTTTGAGCCATCCTTTATAGCACAAATTCTCTAGAAAGGGAGTCGAAAGCCTTTTTAATGTTTAATTTTGCACACATGTAGTGTTC